ACTGGCTAAGTGAAGCTAAATTTTAACTTCTCTATCTTCAGAATGAAGATAAAAATTATAATTGCATCATGAGTGCTTCCAGTATTAAATACTTGAGAGATTTGAAATATTTAATGGACTATATAATGGAGAATGTATCCATTACCTTTATTGTATCAGGTACACAAGAACTCAACAGTGGTGGATGTGGAGGAGGCATTGATAGTAATGGTAGTGGCTGTAAAATTTTCTGTATTGGGGGATGATATGATTATCTATGTGAAAAATTCTATGGAAATTATAAAAGCATCTTTTAGAATTAAGTGACTTTAACAAAGATGCAGCATATTTTATATGCTAATAACAGCAATTGAAATTAAAATAATGCCATTTCCAATAACATCAGAAATTTGAACTAGCTAGAGATAAATTTGATAAAAGATATACAAAATCTGTATTCTGAAATTATAAAACACTGCAGAAAGAAATAAAGGAACATAAGTAAATGGAGAAAAATACGATTTTTAAGATTAGTAGACTTGAAATTGTCAAGTTATCAGTTTTTTCAAAATTGATCTATAGATTCAGTATAAACCCAGTAAAAAACCTGCTCAGTTTTCTGTATTTCTTATAGATTATAAAACTGATTCTAAAATTTATAGGGAAACAGAAAATATTTGAAATACCATCACAATTTTGATGAATAAGAATAAAGTTGGAAGATTTATGTTACTTTGTATCTGGATTTATCTACCTTGGTTTAATTTTGCTGATAATGTTTATTTAATTTTTCACTAAATCTTTGATCATCCCTGTTACACTTCTTGATTTAAAGGCATATTGTATAGCCATATTAATCAAGACTGTTATATTGACATATGTATGTGATACTCGAGATTGAACCCAGGGCCTTTGCACTGAGCTACAATTCCAAACATTTTTGTTGTATATTTTGAAGCAGATTCTTGCTAAGTTTCTAAGTTGTGCAATCTGGGATTAACTTCTTTTCTTTCTGCCTCTACCATCCACTTTAACACTGTTAAAGATGCTCAACATCATCAGGAAGATACAAATTAAAACTACAATGAAATACAATCATGCCCACTAGAATGTCTAAAATTAAGGCAATTAAACCTTCTAAGTCTGTCATAAATGAGGATGTGGAACAACTGAAACTTTTTGTATGACTACAAGTGGAAATGTAAGATGGCACAAACATCTACCAGTCATTTTACCTCTAAATTACTACTAAAGATCAACGAAAGTATACTGCCACACAAAACTTGTATGTGAATGTCCTGAGCAGCTTTGGTTGTTATACAGCTCAAAATTGAAAGTTAATGAAATGTTCATCAGGTCAATGGTTACGAATCATTGTGGTACAAAGCTATAATGGACTATTACCAGTGAAAAGGAATGATCTGTTGTTACACACAAAACAACATTGGTGAAACTAGCAGTAATTATCCTCTTCGAAAGAAATAAGCGAATGTAATACATATTTTATGATTCAACTTCTATATAATTTTAGAAAATACACAGTAATCTGTAGTAATATAAAACTCTTCTGAGGTTTTTTGGGGATAGAGAAAGTTGGGAGCCAGCTATTGAAAATGAGAAGAAGGATACTTTGTGGGATAATGGATATGTTGCCTTTATTACCATGATAGTTTCCTGATTATCAAAACCTATGAAGTTTTACTTTAGATGTTTACAGTTTACTACATACTGGATGCCTAAATTCTTTAAAAAATGAAGAATACATGGTGACTGTCATAAAGCTAAAAGTTTATGACATTTGATTTTAATAATCTTTGGTCAACCTCAGAAGTTAGAGCTTACTTGATAGAACAGTTATATGGATTTACATTTATAGTTCTGAGTATGTGATCATCATTAGCTATGGGACAATTGAAGGAGGTGAGGAATGCTGACACTAGACACCGGTGTTGTTAAATGGAGATTTGGGCAAATCTTGTACTAATTAACATATATGAGTCTTTCTTTTCATTTTGGCTTCAAATTTTGAATCACAAAATTGATGCCTGAACTCTGTGTTCCAAGATTTGCATTTGTACTTTTAGTCATTAAATATAGCCATATTCACATTTCATTTTAATGAGAGCTAACTCTAGAGTATATGTCTAATCCTTCATTGAAAAATCCACCCATATATTTTATTTTGTCTTACTAAATTATTTCATGCAAGAACCTCTCAAAAGTATTTAGTGTCCAAAGCCTGTGATATAGCGTCACAGTTGGAAGAGACCTGAGTGACTTCAAAGGATCTCAAATCAGTACCGTGACTGCATATCTATGTAGGTGTGTGTGCATGAACACTCTTTCCCTTCTGACAAAGTGACAAACAAGGCTGATCCAACTGCTTTGATTTTGTTATTTATTTATTTATGCTCTCTTTTTAGTAGCCTTTCCTTGCTGTTCCCCCAAAGGGTCAGGTGCTTTCCTGAAAAGCTATGTCACTGGCAATTCCCAGTGACAGTGCCACTCTACCACATAAACAAAGAAGAAACACCTAAAATGATAACTCATCCCAAAGTTCTGTCCTCTCAGGATTGTCCTCTGATTTGGGGTATGCTTACTGTTTTCAAAGTGTATGGTAATGTATTTGACACTGACAGATTTAATATGCACTCACCTTCTAGTGAGCTGCTAGTATCTTGCCATACTTTTGCATACCTTTAATGATCACCATACCTCTGAGAGTTGTTGATGCTGAACACCTTGAAACCATGGTCAAAGAGGTAGTAAGTATTGGGTCCTATGTTTGAGACTAGTACATCCTAGGCAGAGAAGCCTAGGGCTTGCAATTAGCCAAGGAACCTTAGGCAAGTTGCTATCTTGGTGCCATCATCTATAAGAAGGAACTATAAAGTTTAAATTACAGAAAGTTTTGCTGCAAGTCTCATAGCACATCTTGGATTCTCAGAAAATGCTAATTCTTTTTCTCTTATCCCCTTCAGGTTCTAAATTCATTCTCTTTCCTGGTATGTGAGTCTAAACCAGATGAAACTAAGTCCTCCCAGCTGTTGAGTCTGAGTTCATTTCTTCAGCAGAGAGCCCCTCTTTAGAGACCTGTCTTCTCAGCTTCATTGCCAATCTCCTGATGGCAGAGACATTCTCATTTACCTGTTTCTCTCCAGTGTCCCGCAAAGGGATCAGTGGATGCTATGAATTAAAAAGACAGATTCAGTCAAGAGGAGCTTCAAGGCACCTGTAGAGCATTTTTTTTTTTTGCCCTGGTGTTCCTCATTCCAGCTCACACCTGCCTACTCTTTGTCTCCAGTCCATAAACTGCCCGACTTCCTGTCATTTGTTAACTCTTCAATTTGCATAGCTCTGATTTGCATGGCTTGCATTATTGTCCATGAATGTGACTTTGGGGTATATTCCATGAAACTGTCCATGGTGTCCATGACAGGCATGTGTCCTGTACTCATAGATACACTCACACCTAGCCAGGCTCCAGAGAGCCTTCTCTGGACTTTAATGTCATGTTGAGATTCTGTTCTGTCTCCACTCAGTTTATAAGACATCTATTATTCATTCTATCAATGGACACACATTGTTGTGTGTATAATAACTTCTTTTTACTTCTCTTTTCCTTCCAATTCCTTTATCTGCTATCTACTTTTCTAATGTCATATGAGTATTTCTATCTGACTTCTTAGTGTCACCCATGATTTACAGGAGCCCATTATGTTTTATTTCTTTCCACTGAGAATATCTAAGATTGTCTTTTGTCTGAGGTTATTTCATGGTGCAGGATTCTTTGGTGAATAACTTTGGAGCTAAAACTCCAACATCAATTCAGTTATCTTCCTTTGAATATTATAGCTATTCTGGGTTTTAGGCAACTTTTGAGTTTTCCAGCATGGAGAATTGCTTCTGGACAGATGCTTTCATCCCTGCTAGTTGTTAATCTTAGCAATTTGCTTGGTCTGTAGACCAAATTATGTGCCTAATTTAGGTAAAAGAACAGTAGAAATACAGATGACAGAGGACTAGGACACTTTTTACTGAAGCCTTTTATAGGATAAGGATTTACATTAATTTCACATCTTTATAAGCATCCTGACTGCTTTTAAAGATTTTATAAGCTGAACACAGAATTTTCCATCATGGTAGACATTGCTTATGACCATGTCCCTGTGGTAAATTTTTGCAGCCTGTTGATTTGGGTGAGGGCTGAAAGGACATACAGAAGTACTGTATTTTCTCTTGACTATTCTGGCAGATACCTGATTTCCTACTTGGCACTGCAAAATGGGAAAGGTGTGAGGAAGCGGATTGGGCATTTTGTGTACCTCTTTTACATTGATTGTCCATGAGTGTTTATCATAGCCTATCAAGATTTATTTATGGCCTTCTGTAGGGTTCTTGAGAGGCACAGAGCTTACATAAAAAGTATAACTGTGACATTTGTTTTGTAGGGAAGTGGTATGGGGGAGGCTTATATTCTTATAAGCAAGAAATATTTTTCATTGTATCAGTCAAAAGAACATTTGAAAGGTCTTTTTCATTTTGTGAATAAATAGATAAATTAATTTATCGTAGAAGAGCTTTTTTTGTTGCTTAGGAAACCAAATCAGTGTCAGATCAAATAGAGATATTGAATTGATATTTGACTGATTTTTCATGCAATGTGGGAAGTATTTTGACCTCTGACCCTTGGCCCCACTCTCTTCCCATATCTCCACATTGTGTCTTTTTGTTTGGATGTGCGTGTGTGTTTGTCTGTTGTGCATGTGTGTGAATGTGTGTGTATGTGACTCATTTGGCTTCAAAATTCAAATGAAGTATTTGTGAGAAGAACTATTTAATATGGTCCTACAAAAAGATCATTTTCTTATGTAAAGATTGGCATCTTAATTTCCTTTCATATTAAGGACTTTTTTTTGCATATGTCAAGACTGTTTAGTGCAGCCCTCTGGAATTTGGGATGATTGACTTAATGTCTTTCACTCTGCTGTAGCCTTCATGTTCTCTCCATTTTCTTGTAGGGGTCATCACTGCTGCAGACATTCTTGATCGAGAAACAACGGGGTCATACTGGCTGACAGTGTATGCCACAGACAGGGGTGTTGTTCCACTCTATTCCACCATTGAGGTCTACATTGAAATTGAAGATGTGAATGACAATGCTCCCCTGACCTCAGAACCGATTTATTATCCTGTTGTCATGGAAAATTCACCCAAGGATATATCTGTCATTCAGATCCAAGCTGAAGATCCTGACTCCAGCTCTAATGAAAAACTGACATACAGGATTACAAGTGGAAATCCACAGAATTTTTTTGCCATCAATATCAAAACAGGTAAGGGAATTCTTTTAAATATTTTTAAAAAAATGGTAGTCCACCTTTTAAATTTTAAGTTCATCAGCCTGACCTTTGCTCTGTTGGCATGTTTATCTTAATTGTGTAGAAAACAATGTCTTCCTTTCTGAGAGAAGTTTCTGAGTGTTCCTCCTATTTGTGGTGTTTTAATTTCACTTAACATAGGTATGAAGTGCTCTAATAGAAATCAGAGGGTTTTACAGAAAGCCTACATTTGCTTAACTCATAGTAATAAAATGTGGGCCACTCTGATAGGTGACTTCCCTTCATCTCTTTCTTGGGAGAGAGTGAGCTGGCCATGCTGAATTCATTGGGTGAGCTGGCTTTCTCAGGTCTCTACTTCTAGGAATTTTCTCCCTGGTTTGGCCTTAGTCCAGTTTGTTGTAAATGATCTTATGAAAGGTTGAGCCATACTCCAGATATTTTGTAATCCCTGTGCTGTCAATGAAGTCAACATTCAAAAGAACTTCCAGTGTTCTAGTCTTTGTTTGAAATGTGCAAAACTTAACTTTCTGATCTTTTACTCACAATGTTTCCATATATTATAATGAAAACTTAGTTTATTGTCCTAAGGATCAGAAGTATGTATGGAGTTTGGATGAATGCATTCTGAAACAAGGACCTACACTGGAAAGATGCTTTGTATGGTAGACATCAGAGTTTCACTGCTTTCTTCGGATTTGCCACATTTAGATCTGAAAATGCCAGTAAATTTAATTTAATTGTGATGGATGAGGCTTTATTTCATTGAAATTTAGACTAATGTAATTTTTTTCCCTGAAAAATCAAGTTGATACTGGTCAAAGGCTAGGTTGATTGTTGTTGGTGTGGACAGACAGCTTTCCTAATGAACTACTGATAAAGTTGATAGCTATTTCTCCTGCCTTTATTTGTTAAAGTAGAAACATACAGCTCACCTCTAGCATTCGATAAAAGTCAGTTCCCACTGACATTATTTAAAGAGAATGCCAGAATTTTGGAAACTTGATTTTCTCTAATTATTAGTGTGTCACTCATTCTGTAAAGGAAACTATTGCATTCTTATGGTGTTGATTCAGGATTTGGCTTATGTTTCATTATAAAACAAGGTGGTCATCTGCTAGCAGGGTCTGACTACTGGAGAGGACAGGGCCTTGGCCCAGCTTTCTGAAGCTGCATTAGGTGTGGGAAAGTCCCCATGCACCCAAAGAGGGAACCACTTGTTCTTCTAGGAAGCTTTCCCTGACTCACCCTCCTGCTATACCAAAGTGTTCCATGCAATGTGGAGACATAAAAATGAATTTTAACATTTTGCAAACGTAAGAGTGAAGGTAGGGGGAAGAGAGAGATAGAGGAACAAGATTAAAGTTGTTAAAAATTCCCAGTAAGGAAAGTTGAGGACACAGATGTCCTTGCATTCCACAGCCCAGTGGAGTCTGAAACAGCCAGGATCAGCTTCTGTCTTTCATGTTGTTCCTGTTGCTGCTTGAGTCATTAATGGTGGACACAGCAGCCAGAACCCTCCTTTTATTTTAAAAGAAACTGCAGAAGGGGAGTCTCAGTTGTTCACTTTCTAGGATTAGGACTGAAAAAATTTTAAAAAAAACAACTCCCACTGTCACAGGTAAGAATTTGGATTGGATGTGAAGAATTAGACTATACAGTATGTGCAGAAAAGATGTATGCTGATATAAATAAAACTATTTTAAGTACAACTTTAAGTTTGAATGTGAATTTTTAGCTGGGGATTTAGCTCAGTGGTGCTGCTGTCTGCCTCACAGGGGCAAGGTCTTGAGTTCATTCCCTGGTACCAAAAAAAAAAAAAAAAGAATGTGAATTTTTAGAAATCCCTGTGTTATCACAGTTTGGTATACATCGTGTAATAAGAGCCTTGATCATATTTGTACAACCTCTATTATTGCAGTACATTCTTAACAAACATTCATGCCATGAATGATGTTTTTGTCTTACTTGTCTAATATTCCAAAAAATATATACATCATGCTTTGGAGTTCTCATATAAATACTGAAAAAATACTGGTTTTTATTTATTCATCTAGTCAATTGCCAAGTATTTATTGTGTCTATCAGTTTTCTAATACGATCTAATAAACAAAGTTATAAACTGAAGATATGATCCAAAATCTTTCAGAAACCCAAAATAGTATGAAATTAATGAACTAATTAACAAATACTTGTGATATGGTGAAACAGTACAATAATTTGGTAGGGAAGCTTTGCCCTATATGAGATTTAAAAAGGTGATGGTCAGGAAGGGCTTCGTGGAAGAAGTAATATTTGGGGTTAGAAACCTGGGGTTCTCTGCTGGAGATGTAACTCAGCTGTACAGTACCTATCCTAGGTGCTGGGCTCAGTTCCTGGTACCAAAAAAGGAAAAAAAAGGAGAAAAAAAGAAATCTTGGGTTTCAAATGATTACTCTGCACTCCCTAACTGGGAAACACCACAAAGTACAACAGGGCAAACAGACTAACCTGGTCGGTCCTGGCTACATCAGCTTTATAACCTTGGACAAGCTATTGAACCTCTAAAATTTAGTTCTTACTTAGGAAAGACTGCTGCAAGGGGTTCAGAGTCCTCATACAAAATGCTAACCATAGAGCCTGGCATAGTGAAATTGCAAATGTTAACACTCTATTCTGTCTGCTTTATGTTAATTACAAGCATGCCATTTAATTTCTGAGGCCCTCATTCTTTTATTGGAAGGTGAGAATGACGTGGGTTATTCCACAGGGGTTGCTCTTGAAACTAAATATCATGATATATATTGAGGCTCTTGGTAAACCACAGAGTTCTAAAAGAATCATGTACTTCTATGCCTATTTTTTTCTTTCTTTTCCTTTTATTCTTGGAAAGCTGGGGCTTAAATCCATGGTCTTTGGCATGCAAGATGTATGCTCCACCACTGAGCTACATTCCTAGCTTACTGTGCACACAGAACCACCAGCCTGGTGAAGTTCTTGTTCAGCATATTTCTCCAGGTATCCTGCTCCCTCAGATCAGAGGACTGTCTAATAAGATCTTTAATTTTTAGCATTTCTTTGTATCCCTGTGAAGTTACTTGTGTGAAATATTTATATTAATATAACATTTTTCAGTGATGAAGCAGGAGGTATAGCCAACCATTGTATTTAAGAAAGATTTATGCTTCCGATTTCTTTTCAACTTGATTTTGGCTCCAGAAAACTGACCTTTTATTTCTCTGTGGTACAGCTGCAATTTATAGAGCTTTGTTTTGTTTTGGCATGTGCTACATGATAAAGATTAAAATGATTAATATAAGTTCAAATTATGTCAATACTTATGGTCCATAGCTTTTAGCAGATAACAGATGTCCCCAAACCAAAATGAAGAGATTTCTCTATTGAACACTCTGTTCTCTATCCAAAGAGTTGCTCCTTTTTTTGTCCAGACCCAGAATCGTGTAGAATAAGTAGTCTGTGCCCCTTCTTCAGTAATTCTTGTGACTTAAAAAGAAAAATAAAAGCTGCAATTTTGTGAGGTCTTCTCTGGCCTCTGCAAATGTCTCTTGATTAATTCCAGGCTAAGCAGTTGAATTCACTCAAATATAGACTCCTTGTTGGTATATGCCTTAAGGAGGTCTACCCACACTCTCTGAAGAGGAGAGGCCAACAGGTCTTTTAATAGGTTCAAACCTGTTTTTGGTGAGCAGGAACTTTGGTTTTTTCCAGCACTTATAAAGAAATGCCAACTGGCCACCCTGATCATCCAGGCTGAGTTGAGGAACAGAGGTGGAAAATGGAAAGTGTTTATTTTAGTCATGTTTACAGTAGGGAAACCACCTAACACAAGGCCAACATGCCAACGTTTAGTAGAGTACTCAGTAAAGGTTAGTTATTATTATTATCTTTCCATAAACTGCAATATTGGTTCAGAATTCCACTGTCTTTTGAGAAAGGCACTCTTGAAAGGCAGTCAGTCATGATTTGCCTTACTTGTTGGTACATAGCACAAGGGCCTTCACTTAGTTTCATAAAGTGCACTGTGTACTGCTGTTCATCTGGACTCAAGGTGTTGGAGGTGGGGTGGTGGGGGGTATAATACAACAGAAGACAGTTTCTACATTAGGGAATTTAGTCTCATGGAAAGATGGACCATCACACAGATAATATGCTCATAGGAAAACTGTGTAAGGTGAGTTACTTAAAAACAAATGCTCTCAATCTGTAGACCATGGGCTGTGAAAGGGTGACATGTCAGAGAGGGTGATGTTGCTAGAGGAGCTTCACAGACGTGATCTGAGCCCTAAAGAATGGGTTGATCTACAGAGAGAAACCAGATGACTACCCAAGGAACATCAACTAGTCAAGATACCTTGAAAGCTCCTCTGTTGCTATTTGAACAGTTTGAGAGGCATAATATCATTAGAAAAGAAATTTTAAGAGTCATGAATGTTTGGGGTATTGCAAGGTAATTAGAAGGACCAAATGTGCATCATTTTTCTTTTGTGTGGAGGTTTGATAACACTCGGGTTTTAGAGAATCTTGTTTTGTTTTATCTTCTTTCAGAGTGGGATATTCAAATGAATTATTTTAGAGAGGAAAAACATACATAGAGAGGTCCCTTTACTCTTTCTTTTGCCTCTATTAAACATAATCTAGGATTAGAAGATCCTGTACTGCGAGAGTCTGTGTTTAAAGGGATTCTTGCTTAATCCAGATCCTCTGATGGTCCTTATTAGGGGATTCCTCTCTCTCTCTCTCTGTCTCTCTCTCTCTCTCTGTCTCTCTCTCTTTGGCTCTTTCCCTGTTCTCTGGCATCTCCACTTGAATTTCAGTGATGGTGAAGCTCAGCCTTCTTTTGTTTCCCATAAGCATCTTGGAATAAACCTGAGTAAACTGTATTTTATGTGCACGTTTACTAGCTGCTTGTACCCCACCCACCCACCCAGGTCATTTGAAAGGAAGAAATCTTCAAAGGTGTGTCTGCTACAGGTACACCTCTCTTAACTCACCTGGCC